CTCAAATGTTGGTGAAACTCGAAAACTGTACCAAATTATCCGCCAGGTTAGTGGTAAGCCCTTGACACTCTGTGATTCTGTTCGTAATGTTAATGGCGACCATAGTGCTGAAAATTCGACCAAGTTCACATACTATTTACGGATAAAAACTCTCTATGCTGACTGCAATTTTTTTTCATAGTAAACCAAACTAGTTGCAACGGTCCCCCCCATAATCCCCGATCTAGTCACTATGTATGCAAGGGTTGAGTAAAGGGCGGTCATCTTGACCTACCCGTCGACGTTCGGAAGGAAAGCCGAACGGAGGTCGATGTTGTGCAGATATCTTCCACGCCAGTCCACGTAACTTCCAGACTATAACTGCTAACTTTATACTTCACATTGGTCATGGTCATTTTCAGGACGTGGACTAGGACAACCGCAGGGAAGTCGATTCTATCTCTGATGAGTAAAGTACCTTCACAACCATCAAACGTAGCACATCGCGAATCCAGAAAATACTCTAAACAACAGCTCGCGTAGACATTGGACGTTGTCGCGTCAGCAGAAAAAGTTGCCGGATCGACAGATCGCTAGGATATATCGTTGTTGCCTTATTCAAGAGCAACTGGGCTTTATATATAACAAACGGAAATAAAGTTGAAGATAGCGTCACTGAAATTGTCAACTACAACTACTTTTAGTCGTTGCCTAGTTGATTTCATAAAATGATATGAGTGGTGGGGAGCGGAGAGTTATACCTTACCTCAATAGGTGTTTGTAGAGCTTCATTTCTTCGTTTGGGTCGCTGGTCGTAACTACTTCCCTGGCCGCACCCATCCAATCCTCCACACGGGCAACGACCACCTCGTGTTCACTCGCCAACTGAACGGCCAGATCCTGAAGAAGGCTGTGAGGTTTTTGTTCACCCGGCGGATGGGACTTTTGTCTAGACACAAAAAAGGAGCAGAGAAGTTAGTACCGGTACTCGGAAGTACATGGAAATTACGATGCTTTACGAGTCCTTATGGTTGAACTGCACCGAATGCAGGGGGAAATGCGATGGTCCGTTTGGCAGAATGATTGCCAAACATTTTCAGGACATTATTGACAGGGGGTAAATAGGCCTGAGCTGGCTCTATCTCTCTTCAGTTAAAAGAAGAACATTCGGTCGCTGGAACAACACTTTTATTCGCTTGACGGTTCTGCATTCGTCGCCCATTTTTCATCAGAGACATGAACAAAAAGCAGTAGCAGAAGCGAATGACACATGTACAGGAATTTCCAGTATTTATAGGAAAGAGTCATGACTGCAAATGTACTACAAATAACGACAAGTAACGATGAGTGTCTTCTTGTGTGCTGATTGCCTGATTACCGGCAACCAGCAACCGCCCAATCAGCCGCGAATGTAGCTGCATGAGGACGCTTTATCGGCGTGTTGAGACGCACTGCAGTGAACAGAAGGCAAACTTGTTGAAATACAATACCTTCGATGGGTGCTCAGAGAAAATGGCTATCCGCACAACTTCTTCAACCGGTGCTTGCGCAAACGAGGTGAGCAACAATATCGCACCGACCCTAAATTTTGACGAGCGATCCCGTACTTCAAAAACATATATTGGAGGCCGTCGGCCGCCTTCTCGCACCAATTGGAGTTGGTGTCACACACAGGCCGGAGGCAACCATAAGGCGTCCGATAATGAAACCAAAAGGTTTACTACCACGGCAAAAACATCTGGAATCGTCTATAGGCTCTGGTGCAGTTGCGGCCAAAACAACTACACAGGTGAAACTGGAGGACTTCTGAAGACGCGAATTGTGGAACACGCGGCATCATTGGGCGAAATTATGCCAATTCTCAAGTTGCGGCTTACTCGACGAGACCAAACTGCACATTAAAATTTGATGAGGCCAAAATTATAGCAAGAAGTGACAGTCTTGTGGGCCGAGAATCACTTGAGTCATGGTTCACGCCCCCACCCAGTCCATAAACAAATGCAACGAATTGTCCAATCCATATTAGGTGTCAAGGCCCAAATTGGCCACTCGGGGAACGTGTAGGCCACCGCGTCGTCTTACGTCGACACCGGGGCACCAGATGGCCGAACAATTATCACGTGCAATTACACAATGCGTGATGAAAGTTCAGTAAGTCAGGGTCCGCATGCCGGTAATCAAGCCATCAACACAAGAGGGCAATTATCGTTAATTGACGTTAGTTGTCATATGTTTGCAGTAATGACTCTGTCCTACAAATAGTGTAACTTCCTGTGCATGTGTTACCCGCCTCTGTTACTGCTTTCTGCG